GATTGACAAAAAATGTATTGGAATAATTCTTCTACAGGACAATCGAAGGAAATCATCCGATTATTCAGCTATTCGCCACCTGGAAAATACAGATCGACTTAAGATCAAACAATTTCTTGTTTTGTGAAAATTACATTCGTAATCCCGTTTTTTTTCCGTACAGTTGTTCGTGCTTTTTTCCATATTTTGTATAAAAACGCATATTTTCAGTGAAAATCGGTCATTTTAGTCGAAATTTCGACAATTCCGTATGGGAGGTACTTGTAAATCGATTCCGAATGGCTTTAAACTTTCTAAGATTTATGGCGAAAAAATAAGAATCTGAGAGTTTGAAGTCAATCGGAATCGATTACACATCCCATACAAAATAAATTTCAAGGAAATTTCAAGAAAAAATTGAGGGCCAAAAACCAAATGCAAATGTGAGTCGCGATCAACGTGAAACTTTCAGAATTTCATTTTTTCACCAAAAAATGAAATCTCAGAAAATTTGAAGCCAATCAAAATAGAATGTTTTTTTAGAAGCCAATCAAAATTTTGAGGTTTGTTATGTCTTTGTGTGTTCCCACCGAGTTTTATTGTTTTAGTTGTTGTAATTTTTTGGCGTGCGCTCGCACCACAACACATTGTTACATGTTTTGCTTTCTGTGTATACTTTTGTTCTTTTTTCTCTCACTCACAATCGCAAACAGAGAGCTGAGTCCAGTGTAATTTGATACTCGCTGAGGGTGACAAATGTCGAAATGCATCCGAACCAAAATTTCGTTTAGAAATAAATATTTATATTGGTTTATGTTTGAAATTTGGAAAAGCAAAGTCACTTTAAGGTGTTTTATTTAAAACTAGCGGTCCTCGCTTCGCTCGCTCCGCTAGATTTTTTATGCCATTATTAATTGTACAATTTTTTTATGCAAATCATTATTATTTTATTCAAGTACAATCGGATATACAATGTTTTTTACTTTTGTATTTGGTGAATATACATATAAATTTTCTGGAGATCCAACTCTTGAACATGCTACATATAATTGACCATGTGAAAAACATTGAGTTTCTAAATCTTGTCCTATTACATTTAATGTTTGGCCATGGGCTTTATTTATCGTCATGGCATATTCCAAACGGACTGGAAATTCTAGCCTTTTAAATTCGAAAGATAAATCTGTTGTTCTCATAGGAATTCTTGGAATCAGAATTTCATCTCCTTTGAATTTGCTCCATTTTACAGAATCCTCCATTTTACAGAAGTTTTTTGGTAGTATTATTTCTCTTGTTGTCGGCTTTATTTCAACATCACCATTTCCAATGTCAAGTAACTTCTGATGAAAATTTGTCGAATCATCGCTATATAATTGTATGCGCATGTTGATAGATAATTTGATTGTTACAACAAAATCCCAGAGATATGATCGTTTTAAGCATGCATTGATTTCATCAGCTTGTATGGATTGTGATATTACTGGCAAAGTTTGTCTGAAGTCGCCTGATAATAGCACAAGTGCATTTCCCATTGGATTATCGTTCTTTCAAAGTTCTATCGAGTGCTTCAAAACCGTGTTTATGCATCATGGGCATTCATCCCACAATAAAATCTTCGGTGTTTTTAATACCTTTCCCATCCCTGAATCTTGTTTGATATTACACAATGCTGAGTGTGCCGTACGTCCCCCATCAAGTAGTGTGGCAGCTATACCTGAAGATGCCAATGCTAATGCAATACCATTTTCACTTATAATTTTCGCCAAAATTAGGTTTAATAAGAATGTTTTGCTAGTTCCTGCTGATGCATCTAAGAATAGTATGTCACCGATGTTGTTTTCTACGTATTGCATAATAGTATTATATGCATTTCGTATGTCTTCATTCATTAATTTTTTGTTGTTTTCAACGAATGATGTTAGGCTGTCTTTGTCGAAATGTTTTTCTCGTAAGTAATCTTTTTCGAAATGTAACGATTATGCTCTATTTGGAGATATCATTCCTAAATCTTTTAACGTTTTGTTACTTATTGATATGCATTTGTTTTCAATATCAATGAGAGCTTCATTGAATAGTGAGTCAACGTTCATCATTGTTTCTTGTTGTAATTGTTCTGCTTTATGGATCAAGTCTTCTGAAAGACTAATTTTATATTTGTTCCACAACACAGTTGGATTATTTGGTGAACACGTCGTCAACATTATTGCAAATAAATTTCTCATTGGCTCTGGCATACTTGTTAAAGATGCGTCTGCTAATGTATCATTCCAATGTTGATCGTTTTCTAGTAACCCTAATTGAAGGCAAGTTTCACGGTAAGTTGAATAAATGACGTTATTTATTCTTCTCAAATCGTTGAATGATGTTGGCCCCTCTGATTGTATGTAATAATAACCGTAGAAAATAACATTCGGAAAAATTTGGATGTACTGTGTATACTCGTCCTATAACATTCGTCTCGTAAATATCGTCATATTCCGGTAGATTTACACCTTGTTTTCTTTTGAAGAATTTTCTTGTTGGTTTATCCCATTTGTAATATTTCGGAACTTCATGATATAGTAAAGTTCTTGCAAAATCATCATGTGCACATAGATCGAAAAAAACAGTTGAAGTTGTATTTGGAGGTATAACGGCCAATTGTTATTTAAAAATGGTGCTATGATATTTATCCTTTTAGAAATTAGAAAACAAAATATTTTTTTTTCTTACCGATTCTGTTATTTTGAGAAATGGCATAGTCTAATACATTCTTACAAAAGAAGGCAAAATAACAGAATAAATGATGAAAAGGTTTGAAATTAAAAAAATGTGAAATTTTGGGCTTGTAATTTTACAAGGACAAACGGACATTGAGTTTTATTTATATAGATTTAATCGTAGATTGAAAAAGTCTTTCCATTTCAATTCCCTTAACAAAGTGAACGGAAAAGTAAAATATTCAACATTATCATTGTTGGCAGCATATTGAATTTATTCCGATAGTTCTTTAACCCGCGTCCGCTGGAAGTGTCAATTTGACACTATTTTCAAGATTATTTGTGTTATCGAGCTATTTATTATGGTTATATTGTTCTGAGATTTTGGCTCAACGGGTAAATCGTATATACATTTTCCAAAAAGAAAAAAATTAAATGTATAACAGTTTTCAGTTTTTCACAATCACAAAAATCACGTTAACGCTGCTAGTGTCAAATTGACACTGTGCGTACCCGGCCAGTTCGCCGATACGTTCGATGTGCATTTGTGATGTGTTTGTATATGTCAAATGTCACATTTTAGCTCTTGTTTTTGCTATGACATTTCATTCTGTTTCCCGCTACAATCTAATTCAGTCATTTGTGTCATTTCGTGGAGAAAAAGAACTTCATTTCTACAACCAAATGTAATGGCTTCTTGGCTGGTCGAGGATATTAGTTCAGACGAAGGAGACGATCTCTCGGATTATGAACCGGAAGATTCGTACGACAGTGCTGACAGCGATGCTGAATTTTTGAACGAAGAAGAGAGATCAGAAATGCAAGTGGATGACAACGTTGCTCTGATGTCGAAAGACAAAACAATTCGATACTCTCTGGAGCCGCCACCAACTGCAAGACCACCAGCCAGTCGAGTAGGTGTCATTGCAAATGAAGGTAATTTTGTTTCCACAAAATGTAAGAAAAAAATATTCATTTGTTCTGTGATTTTCAAAGGCCCAATGACATACGCAAGTGCCCGTGTGACTGATCTGTTAGCATCTTTCTTGATGTTCATTGAGCCTATCGAAAAGATTGTGGTTGATATGACCAACTTGTATGGATTTCGCCGATATAAGGATGAATGGCAGAACGTTGACATTTGCACGATGAGAGCATATTATGGACTTCTTCTGTTAGCCGGTGTATACCGTTCGCGAGGCGAAGATATAACTGAACTTTGGGATGATCACAAAGGTCGGCCGATTTTTCGAGCCACAATGTCATTGGAATTATTCAAACGGATCAATCAATGCATTCGATTCGATAACAAAGAGGAACGTATGCAAACAAATGAACGCTACAAATTGGAACCGATTCGAAACGTATTTGAAAAGTGGGTTCAACGGGTGCGCGATTTATATGTACCTGGGAAATTTGTAACTTTTGACGAACAGTTGCTGCCATATCGTGGAAGATGTCCATTTATCCAGTACATTCCAAACAAACCGGCTAAGTATGGCATCAAAATCTGGGTTTTATGTGATTCAAAAACGTACTATGCGTACAATTTGAAAGTTTATGTCGGTCGTAATCGAAACTCAGCACCTGAAGTGAATCAAGCTGAAAATGTGGTGATGAGGCTGGCTGAAGGCTTGAATGGACGGAACTTGACTGCCGATAATTGGTTCATTACTTATTCGTTGGCCAAACGATTGAAAGGGCAGTAAATGACTGTTGTGGGCACTATTCGGAAGAATAGAAAAGAAGTTCCACCGATTTTACTCAACATGAAAGGCAAACCAGCCGAGTACTCTGAATTCGTATTCGAACACAATTTGCGCGCCACAATGGTTACGTATGTTCCAAAAAGAAACCGATTTGTAACGTTGCTCTCAACATATCATACGAATAGGGTGATTGATGAAAGTGATAAGAAAAAGCCGGAAATTATCAAGTTTTATAATGCAACAAAGGGAGCGGTGGATACACTCGACGAAATGGTCGGTACTTATCGGTGCAAGAGAAGAGTATTGCGATGGCCGTTGGCTCTTTTTGAAAATATGCTTGACATTTCGGCTTGCAATGCATTGGCCATATTTCTGGCGAATAATTCATATTGGCAACACGCTGAAAAGAAGGCTCGCCGTCGCTTTTCCCTCATCGAAGTTGGTGAAGCACTTGTAACGCCATTCATATCCGAACGTGAACATATGCCGCAAGGAAAACGAGCTCAAAATGTCGTTTGTGATATACAAGGTGTGGCACGTGAACCATCACCAGCGCTATCAAAATCATCAGGTGGATCGGCAAGAGCATCTCCTGTGCCGTGGCTGAGCAATTTGAGACACACCGAAGCAGCGAAAAAGAGAGCTCGATGGATGCCACATTTGCCCCTATGCTACGAATGCAAATGTACATGCGACAAGATGTGATAAGAGCAAACGGGCTGTTTGCACACAATACCGCTTTTTGATCTGTGATTCCTGCTGCGGTAATCCCCAGTAAGAGGCAAACGAATATGAATTCATTCATAAATAGCATTAAAATCGTTTCACAGAATAACGTTTTTTTCATATAAATATTTTTTTTCTTCATTTTTTTACATGTTTTCTAAAACATCACATTCATGTAGGAAATAATGAAACACAGAGATGTTGTTTGGTTCGTGTTGCATTATAAACTGATTCTTTATTCAATAAGAGTGAAGTTGTCCATGTTAGGCGTGAGCTGTCACAACCAGAGTGGCTGCGTACTATGCTTACGTTAGGCTACGTTCTGTATACTCCCTACAATCGGCCCCCTTAATAAGACTTTGGCTCCTGACAAAAATTTAAATCTTTTCTTTTCTTATTACTTTAACATTCAAATTCTTGACTCGAAATCTTATCAATGAC